TTCCACCAAGGAGCTGTAACATGGAACATTTAACTGTCGTGCTGATGTTGTGTTTTGAATGAGTGTGCATCTATTTTGTTTTATGACTTACCACAACGTTACAACTTCATTAGAGTATGTTTTAGTTGGTACTGACTTCGCTCTTGCAAGGCCTGAGTAAGAGAGAGCAAAACAATGATCAGAATGAGACAAATTAAAATAGCACTTAAGATAATATATGACTGATGGTAAGTTTCTTGAGCTCGGTTAAGAAATAGAGAAAGATGTTTTTCGTGTTGTCACGAGCGTGTGACAAAGGAAAAATTCCAAGTCTCAATGAGACCCAGAGACTCCATGGCGAGCAAGACACATTACGTGTTCATAAATGACACGCGTGCTGCATACTGCTAAGAGATCGGCAATGTCGATAGCGTCATGTTTTGTAAATAAGATGAGAAAGACGTAAACGAGATGTAAACCTACAGACGAACCAACCTTTGATAGTGTCACGGGCTAACTAAACTAACAACTACAGAAATACAAATGAAATAATAACGAATGGTTATGCTAAAATTTTTAACGCATCGTGCTCTGAAAACGTCAGTGTGGTGAAATAAAATTTGACTTAAATTATTATTCCTTTCTGCCTCTTTGCACCGTTTGAAGCCCCTCACAGGTCTACACCGTTACAGAGTGCTCCGCTTGTGATTAACTTATAAAGCACTTTTCGATGGACTGTCATTAAAACAAAATTATTGATATAAACCGCCAATCTGAAGAGAGGAAGATACACTGAAAAGCGCTGTAAACGCGGGCGACCGAGTGGCGGTTTAGTTCTGCATCTGATTGGTTAAGAGAGTGGCGCCAGTTTTCTAGACCAATCACAGAGTGAAGTGAAGACAGAGTGGCGCGAGTTTTCTAGACCAATCACAGAGCGGAGCGAAGTGAAGTAAAAACAATGCATTTTCAGAATACTTTCGACACTCGACGAAAAATTACTCAACACTGATATACATGTAGCCTGTCTGTCTGTTTGAATGCCACATTTACTAAAGTCTGCAAGTTTTAGTTCTCCTTTATCGTTTATGAGAAGATTTTGAGGCTTGAGATCTCTGCAAACGAAAAATTAACCAATATCTTAGTTTGACAATTGACAGTGCAGCTTTGACAATGTCTGCGGAATTTATCTACAGTTATATTAAAATAAACAGCGAAAACTGTGAACTGCACAGTTTTTCTGGAGCAACTAATTAACAAGGTCAAGGGAAAAAAATAGACGATGTCAGTGGTAATTGTTATTCAGACATTTTGGTTTTCAATTCCTCTCTCACACCAGTATGCATTTCTCCAGACTGTTTCCTGAGCAATTCCTTTGGTATTTACGAGAGAGAGAGAAAGATATTTTATCCGACGTATATGGTAGCCATTGGCTAAATTGCGTACAATAATTGTGTAGCTAAAATGCTCTATAAAATACTGGAGATAAAATGTTCTATAAAAAATACAACCTAAAATACATTCTTATTATTGTTAATTAAATTACACTGAAAGTTAATAAAACTGCTTTTGGTGCGGTTTGTTTTGTAACTAAAATTATTACCTCTGTGAGTAACATCTGTTCAAATGTGGCGATTTTTCCCGCCAAAAAAACTTAGAAAAATACGGTGCCCAAAATACGCACGCGCCGTTTTTTTGGTAAATTTTTCAATGTTATTGTTAGAATAAAAGGTAATATTTCTGCTATTTGTATTATGGAATAAAGCCAATAAACAAAGCAAAGCACTCTTTTACTATCTTTAGTTCAATGAATAAATATTCTAACAAAGTTTTTTTTAAATTAGTTAATAGAAGTTCAATTAAATGAATTAAATGATGACAAATGTGCGAAATAAAATGTGTTCGTCCATATATTATGTTGTTTGGCAGGAAAATTTGATTGACTCTGCCTAGAGTTTCCCCTGACAATATTTTCCACAAAAAATTCAAAGTAGCTTCCCTTAAATTTTCCGCCAAAACTTTTGTGAATATCATCTTGTGCAAAATCTTAAAAGAAATAATCTCTTAACTGCATGTCGCTCAAATTTCTACTAAAATTTTCTTGATGAAGTATATTCTCTAGATTTAAAATTTTGTACAAGATGTAAACACATTATAAGTCCTTTTGGAGCCATCGGTTTCTTTGCTCGATACACAGGACAAGTTTGACACACACTGATCAGCATTTCTCGCCAAATTGAATTCCAAAACAAAAATATTCCTCAACTGTTTTGCTTTTTTTTTTTTGCTTTTAGGTACCAAGAGTTCACACAATCAGATACTTGCTCAGCTTCACGTACTTTTCTAAATTATTGAAACAAGAATTTAGTTGAAATTGGTTTTATTTTGCACCGATAAATTTAGCAATCTGGATTTCATTTTCAAAAAACTTCCTTACAGTCCTGTGTTACATCAGTCGAAGGCTGAATAAGGTCTTTTTACATAGCATATACGGCAATAAAACCCAATGACTGGCTCAAAGAAAATATCAAAGTAAAATATTTTAACAAAGCTACTCCGTAAAGAAAAAAAAAAAAAAAAAAAAAGCTCTTATTTTCCTTGTTGTCCTTAATTCTTGGATTAACTCCGTAAAAAAAAAAAAAAAAAAAAAGAACATTGCAACTGGTTATACGGACGAAAGTCTTTCAAACATTTTTTTGGTATTCGTCCACTTTGTTCCCCATAAACAAAAAAAAAATCCATTGTGCAGAAGATCGAAATTTGGAAGCTAATATTCATTTCCAATTGTAATTTGTTTTAACCTCGCGAGTAATTGTTTCAAGCAGAGCAGCAATTTATAAGCACTGTGAAGAACGTGTTTTTCGAAACAGATAATGAGATCCTTTTAAATTTCAAGTTAATCGAACATTACTTTTCATTTGTTGTAAACTTTCACAAAACAACCTAAGCTGATCACGAATTTCACTTTCTTGTTTTTCCTTATAAAGGTTACGACTGCTGAGTTAATTTTGAAATGAAAGAGCAGAAAATTGCAGCTTTTGGAAATCCATCGACTCGTGTAGAAACATTTTTTGGAAAATAAGACGTATCTAGTGATTCCAAGCCAAATTGCAGTTTCTGTGTGTCATTCAATTATTAATTTGCACAAGAAATCTGAGGTTCTTTGATCTTACATTGTCTAAGTTGTCAATTTAGCTGTCTATAACCATAAATCATTTCTCATAGCCATCTGAACCAGTCATAGGTTTTATTGACTGAAACCTGCAAAAGGCCAAGAGAACGTTGGCAAATGGCTTTCCGGAAAAAAATTACAAAAAGATCAATTTAATTTTATCAAAAGCTATGTTACATGTACAGCCACGGTTCAGTTTAACTTGTCGAGTCGAACGTGCGTAATGGCATTCGTCAGTTCTTATTGTTCAATTTTGATCTGTCAGTGAAATTCGTTTGTTGATGGTTAATAAATAAGTAGTTTGTGGTGCCTGTATTTAATGTCACCTATCTATGAATCTGCCCTTAGCCAGAAAGCCAGCTTATAAGGAGTCGGTATTTATATATAAATCGTAGATGCTTTAGGTTAAACAGGGCAAAGTCCCGGCGTAACTGTTTACATTAACATTTCTCGTAGTAGTTTATGTTCAGTCACTCTTGTCTTTTCGGTTCCTGTTCTTTGCAAGCAAAGCACTTTGTCTGCTACTAGCCAGGTTCGTCTCTGTCTTAAGCGTTAATAAGTAAATGTTGTTGAGACGGAAGTTCTATCCAGCAAAATTGCACTAGATTTGTGAAATGATCATTTTTTTTCATTCTATGCTAGTCGTAATATTCAGAGTTTCTTGAAGTGAAGTTTGTCACACACAGTGCCACCTTAAAAAATCCACCAGAACAACCTAACTCTTGAAGTCGTCGGAGACTTGACCATGGTATCAATCATGCAGCCTACACGAAGGTCAAGCTTGAGCAAACCGATTCATACCACATTTAACTTGTGTTGTGAAGTGTATTTTTGGCAGGATGAAATGCTAATTAACAAATCTTTGTGTCCGTTACCTTATTTAAATCAAAGTGCGACAAAACGCGTGAAAATGGGAATGACCAAGTCGCGATTGGTCAATTTTAGTTTTCATTGAATTTTATGTTTTTTTTGTTTTTTTTTTTTTTCGCGAGTTTTCTAGCCCAACCATAAAATGAGGTATGGCAAAACCGAAGCTATTACTTTCGATAAACAAACGAAATATCCCTTGGCTAAATGTTTTGAATCAGATGATTACCCAAGACTCGACCCTTCAGTAAATCTTCAATATCAGTACCATTAAAAAATTACTTCGACGATATTAATTTATAAATTCTTATCTTTGCAGAGTTTCTTCTCGATGTGATTCTAGTTTGTCCTCCAGAGTTTTGTGTCCTCCGTTCCGCTCCTTAGTTTCAGTTTTCCTGTAAACATAAATAGGTTAAACAATATTTAGGTCGCCTGACCAACTTTTAAACTTATACGCAAAAACAAGAAACAAGTTCTTATGGTAATTTATTTGAGCTAATTTTCAACAAGGCTTTTGTAAAGCGGAACTGCCAAAATTTTCCTTCGCGTTATAGATAGCTATGAGCCATGGAGACCAAAGTATTTCAGGGCGGATCACTTTACAACAAAAGTACAACAACAAACATCTGATTGATATGACTAGCTGTATTTAGAACGTTTAAAACAGCTTTCTTGATCACGAAGGCAAAATCTTGATCAATTCGACACGTTTAAGAAACAGAACTTCAACACGGCTCAACCTCGATTATATTCTGTCACTAAGCTGAGTTATTTAAATCTCCAGTAAGAGAACAACTACTTGGTACGGTGGATATTATTTGCGGCTTTGGTTTGACTAATGTGCGGAGAATGTAAGAAAAGGTTTAATTTTTAATGAATGTGGTGACACAGACTTTGCCTTCAAAATTTCAATCTCAAATTTAGAAGAATTTTTGATCCCTTCACTAAGACAGGTGACGTACTTAGTCAAGTTCGTTACATTTGAAATATATTATTAACGTTGAGACCGTCTGGTCTCAACCTTACTGTACCAGTAATTCAGCCTAATGGCTGCAAGTGGTCAGAAATAAACTATATTACTATATTAATAATTTGAATATATCAACAAAGTTGAAAAGGTAAATTGGCCACCGTTACGATTATCAAAGCTGACGTTTCGAGCGTTAGCCCTTCGTCGGAGCGAATAGGGGAATTGTGGGTTGTGTGTGCTTTTAAAGGCAGAAAAAGGAGCTACGTGATTGGTGGGAACATGGCAACGAGAAAAACACGAATAAATTAGTGGAATGAAAAGCGTTCGTTGATACCTGTGGGATT